AAGGAAGGAAGGAAGGAAGGAAGGAAGGAAGGAAGGAAGGAAGGAAGGAAGGAAGAAAGAAGACTGCTTATGCTAAAGACTAAGAATTAGCATTCCTAACAGTATCCAAGAATGTGTGACTCCTAACCAAACACCCTTACGGAGAGCTGGCTGATTAGGTCTGTGTTATTGACCAAAGCCAGCAGCATTGTGATGCTCCCCCTAGGCTTGCCATGAACCTCCATCAGCAGAGGAAACCAAAGCTAAGATATAAGGGCAAATTAGGGACCTAGCTGAAGAGCCCAGCATGGAAAGGAACAAAGTAGGAAGAAGGGAGAGAAGGAAGTGGCGTGTTGGGGGCTAGCATTCTGATAAATGTGGGCAAGAGCCGAAGCACTAAAATCATGACAAGGATAAGGCTTAATGTGAGAAGTACTTCAAGCTAGTCTACAAAATAAACAGGCTGCTTTACAGACCCTGTGATGAAGCTAACCAGAAGTCCTGGTGTCTTGGCTCTCGTCCTAAGTAATGAGTGAAAACCAGAAGTTACAGAGTTTTAAAGAGATCTGTCCTGAAAGCCAGCTGTGTAACAGCGGCCTGGAAGAGCAGAATAAATAGCTACAACATCATTGCAAATGGCAGTCCAACTGGTTCTATTTTTAGTTTGTTTTCTTGTCCTTTCCTATAAAATCAAGAACTCTTGATATATTATTCAAAGTGGCTAATTGAGAGATTTTTTTCCTAGTAAATATAAAAATATGTATCTTTTTATTATCATGCATTTTGTAATAGTTATCGAACGCATTCTTACCCCAGTCCTAAAACTCAAGACTATGAAAGGCCTCCCAACTTCTGACCTGCTCTCCCTTGGTTGCCAGGGACCGGCACCAGCTTCCAGCAAATAATCTGGTAGCTGAAAATGGAGAGTTCGTAGAAGTCTCACAGACTGTTTTAGGTTGACCCTAAACCTCCAAAAATAATATGTCCCACAGATAAGCACGGGCAATGGTATTTAATGTCCATCCCTAAAACCTCTCTTTAAACCATCTTTTCACGTTGGAGGGTGTTTTACTGTCAGCATTGCCTTAAAAAAAAAAAGTACTGTTTTAGCTCCAAGAGTATAGTTTGATTTAGATTGTGAACCTGTGCTCAGCCCTATAAGGCCTTTACACATGGGAGGAATAGGCTTTGTCTGCCCATTACTTTTACTAGATGAGGTCAATCTTATTTGCTTATTTTGTCATGGAAGTAAACAATGAAAATGGATTTTTCAGCTCCAGGGCTAATAAAAATTTGTAAGGTCAAGAGCTATGGGTGCAATATTCTGGTATCAAATTACTGGTATTATAAGGTTTATTGTACCATGAAGGGTGCTTATATATGTGTGCCCATGCTCGAGTGTGTGTGTGTGTGTGTGTGTGTGTAGTGTTTAAACATGGATGTGGTACAACACAAAGAGAGTTAAATCATGCACACATTTCCTTAAACATTTTTTCACTAGAGGGCTCACTCGCCTTTCAGAAAGGAAAGAAGAAAATCTCATGTTGGGAACCTAGACATTACCTCTAAAGACAAATTTGCCTTGTTTAAGACTATAGAACATTTTAAGGGCTATTGTTCCTGTATGCCCCATAAAAACATAAGTGGCCAATGACTTCCTCACTCAATTTGCTTAAATTAAAGACATTTTAATCACATATTTCTCCAAACTTCAGACTTTTTTTGTTGTTGTTGTTACTGTAGTTTTGTTTTTCATTTTCCTTTGAGTCAAGGAAGACATGAAAGTGAATTGGGGGGGCTCAGGAAAAACACATCAAGGAAGGAAGCGAAAAAGGACACAGGAATTCCACCCATTCTCCCCTGGTAAGACTCCTCCCAAACACCTCTTCTGTTTTCCCAGCGTCCCGGAAGATGGGGATTCTTACGTCCAACCCGAGGATGAGAACTACGAACATGAGTCTGTGCGACAGCTGGAGACGGAGCTGCAGATGGAGGAGTACCTGAAACAGAAGCTGAAGGACGAAGCCTTCCAGGTACCGGAGGCAGCCGCATCCCTGCCCCTCCACAGTCCTCCACAATGGGTCCTTCCCACTCCCCGGAAATACAGGCCTCCCTTCCTGTTTCTTCTCTACTTTTCCAGAACATTCTGGTGGTATTCCTCAGTCCATGCATCCCATATAGTAATGTTAAATGTCTCTTGTAGCTATCTATTCTTCCAGATTCTGATGTGGACCATGAAAAGGGCCTTTGTGATGTTGGCAGACTGATAGTGGCAACCAATACAAACACATCAGGATTGTTAGAGGGTTTCTTGTTTTGTTTTGTTTTTTTCTTTCTCTCCTAAGTTAAAATGTAGGGACCTGGGGAGATGGTTCCATGGATAAGGAACTTGCAGAGCAAGTGTGAAGGATAGAGTTTGGGTTTCCAGAATCTAGTAGGCATAGCTGCCCAGCCTATAATCCCAACAATCAGAAGGTAAAAGCAGGGGCTCCCTGGAGCCAGCATGCTAACCAGACTAGTCTAATCAGTGAGCTCTGAGTTCAGTTAGAAGACCTCAATGAACAAGACAGAGAACAACAGAGGAAGACCCCCAACATCAACCTTGGGCTTCCATATGCTTGTACCAATACATGCATACACACATGCATACGTGCATACACACATATGCAAATATATCTAAAGATAGAAGCCCACATATCAAATAAAAAGCTGAAAATAGTGATGATTATATAAAGAACACATAGCACAAGAAAAATGAATAAACGCCAATCCACTTCCTCCCCTGAACTGTCTCTGACTTCCTCGTTGCCTGCATCACGTCAGACGTAAGTGCAAAGGTGACAAAACCTACCGAGAAACAATGAGGGACCTGCAAGCCCCCGTACAGCAAGGTGCAGATAGGTAGATCCGAAAGAGGCCGAAGTGTACTAACCCATCGGGGAATTCACAGAGCATAGCTCCTGCAACTAAGAATAATAGCATTACTGACTATTGCCAACAGTAATGAGTTTGTCCCTCAGGGATATCCACTGCCTGCTTCTCCTCGGGTGTATAGTTGGACCCTGGAGGACACAGGGATGTTTTTCTGGTAGAGATCAGCTAGCCTCAAGCCCATCAGATCTTTTGTCTAATGGCCACACAAGCTCTGTCACCATGGCCCTCTCTCGCTCTGTCAGTGAAGGACAGAGAATCAGTAAGCGTCAACTGGGTCTGGCTTCTGTGTTATGTACAGAGTGAGCCTTGAATGGTTCCCAAGAGGACTGCGGCACCAGGGAAACCAATGCCCAAGTTCACCTGAACGTAGTGCTGCTTAACATTTTCATCCTAGCGCCTGCCTTTGAGAAACTGAAAACAGCCATTCAAAAGGAAGAGTAATAATAATTAGAGCGTAGGGCCATGCTCCTGTGCCACCTACCAATATGTTCACCCGATTACAAAACTGCGGTGAGTGTGCAGTCTTGGTGACTTCTGAGACTCATCCCTGGAGAGAAGCTAGCCTTGTACGGAGCTGGCTGGGAGTCTCTGGGAAGCCTAAGGGGTGGTGTCCTGTACACATCTCACATGGGTTGGCTCATGGAGCAGAGAGACGTGGCTGGATCATCAACGTCCGAGTTGGCCTATTGGAGTTGTCTGTCAGGCCCTGTTCTTCAAGCTTGTCTTCAGTTTCTGGGGTTTAGTGACAAGAGTAACTGTACTGGTACATTTTTAGGTGACTTTTATCCTAAATCTAACAAATATTAGATTCTTTATGAATTATTAGTTAATGTTACGTGAACAAAGTAAAGGGGTTCTATTAACAAGATCTATCGGAAGTTCTGCCATGTTAAGGAAATCCCCGGTTCCTCCCTCTCTCTCCCCTTGCCTTTCTGTGCTTGATGATGTCAAGGGAAAGAGAAGGGGAAGGGCCCACGTGCTCTCCCTCAGTGCGTATCCTGGAGCATGGTGGAGTGGTTCCCTTCAAAGGCTGTGTAAGCTGGAGGCGACTGGCTAGATGGAATGCCTCTGTCGTTCTCTGGACTCTGTCCCTCTCTGTGTGTCTCTGTGCATGGCCTCCAGCCACATAATTCACCAGCTTGACTGCCTCACAGACTTGATATGTCACCTTTCTTGTTTGTGTCCTTTGTCACCCACAGGTCAGCTTGCAAGGTTGAATGCAATACCCTTTCTCACTCTCCTCTCAAGTAAGTACCTGCTGTGTGGGAGGAGGCATGGACACAGTAGGCTGTGATGACTTAGCCTGACTTCGCAGGCGCTCTCTCCTTGTGATGTAATGTCAGCCCTCCCTGCTGCCCTCAGAGTGGCAACTCAAGCACAGAACCCATTACAGTCCTGTGTAAATCCCCCAGGCATCCCTGGAGTAGACATTTTACTCGTTGTTTAGGGCAGTTGTCACAGAAACTTCCACAGCTCCTGAGGTGCACCAGATTCTCTGTGGCCACATCAGTAATGTCATCCAAGAAGGAAAAGGCCAAGCTACTTCAGCACCTCTGGATTTCAGCTCCTTAGTCCCCCCAAAAAAACATCTGTGTGCACTGTAACCAGGGAAAACACAGCCAAAGGGGGAAAACCCTGCAGCCTTGTGTTTTGAGGTTGACTAATTCAAATCCACTGGGGATTTCAGTGTGGTAAAAGCTAACTCAAGATGTCATTTAGGTTATTTCATTCCACTCTAAAGATTTACCTAATAATGGGCCCAATTCTCAAGTCATTTTTTCTTTATCATTGCAATTCTGGTTGGTACTTTTGACCGTCAACATCACTTGAGTGTCGTGATCTAAGTCTCAAGTTCTGCATTTTATTAGAACCATTTTGAAATACGAATCTCACCAAAACTTAGCATAATTTAAAGAAATTATTAATCCTTTATGAGTTTCACTTTCCTCTGTACATCAGGATATTATGCCTACCTCACATCCAGGAGGTGGACGTGTGGCATATCCACAAGTTCAAAGAACTTGACCCATCGTACCTAGCTGTGCGCATGCACATATATGCATACCTCCACATGCTCCAGCTCCCACGCAGTACTGGGGAGCTGCGACAGTCCCACAGAGCTGGAGCAGGGCCATGGGACTCAGAACAACTTCGTTATTTCAACTTTTATAAACAAGTCAGGACTCAGCTTCCTGCAATGATGGTGGGACCCACTGTCCCTTAAGTCTAGATGGCTTCTCTAGTTCTAGTCAATGACCATTTGGTGGTCCCTCATTACAACCTAAGTTAGTGCACTGCTTACAGCAGTCAGGCTGGCCTGGCCAAAGGACTTGTGTATAGTGTAGTTACATAATGCTTCTCAATTGTGGAATCAGATGAGTCTACAAGATAGCTGATAACGCACTCTGCCGACCCTAGTTGCTAATTTTAGGAATGAACGTATTTCTTCAGCAGCATTTCGAGGAGCAGTGGATACACAGTAGGTTAAATGCTACAAGCAGTCTCGCTGCACCACCAGGTTCACATCAAGTCAGTAAGACTGCATTAATGGGACAGACCTGAGCTGTAGGAAGAGCCTCTCCAGCTACACTCTGTTTACCCTCCCTTGCACTCACACCCTCTCCTGATTCACAGCGAACCCTCTCCTAATTCACAGTGACTACAGCGGGAAAGGGTCCTGGGAACTGTTTCTGAAAATATCCACTCTGGTTATAGCACTTCTAGTCACAGAAGAAAAGGTTGTTCCTTAATAGCATTTTCTTTCTCTTCGCTCCAACAATTTAATTGTTTTTGTTCTGTGTCTTATTTGGACATTAGGGACTTGTTCTTAGGAAAAAAAAGCATTCATTGTTTTAAAGTAATAAAATAGCCTTGCTATGAACACACATAAAAATTAGATCAGGTAAACAGGGTGATGGTAGCACACACCTTTACACTCGGAAGGCAGAGACAGGTGGATCTCTGTGAGTTCAAGGCCAGCCTGGTCTACAAGAGCTAGTTCCAGGACAGGCTCCAAAACTACAGAGAAACCCTGTCTCGAAAAACAAACAAACAAACAAAAAAATAGATCAGGTTCTTTTTTACCTAAAAGCAACTTTTTTTACTTTCTTGGAAATCTAGTAGTGAGAATTTAAAACAGGTGTGCCCTCTGTCATTTACTGCCGGGATATTCTGATTAGATGGAATTCTGAAGGAGCCTAAACACAAACCAGCCTGTGGCTAAATCAGCCAGTTGGGCAAAATGCATTTAAAATCTTACAGGGCACTACAAAAAATAGTAACATTTCACCTTTAACTCCTTTTAACCTACTATGAGGTTCACAATGGGGTCAATACAGTTGCAATTTAAGAATGACCTGTATGATTAGTATATTTTGTTTGGACTTTCTGACTATACAGCAATACCAAAATTATCCCAAAGTACATGCCTCTCTTACGCAAGGGTCCTGAATCAAGTTCACTGGCTTGGCATCAGTCAACCAGCCACCAAGGCAGAATTTTTCATGAATAAGAGCAGAACATGGAACCTAAGGAACAGGAAGACTCTTCCTGTGTTCAAGGCAGACTATGGGCCTGTTTGTAAGCCACTGGGTGCCTTGAATGCTTCATGAGCCTCAGGAGTACCCCAGGGATCCCTTAAGAGGAGGCTCAATTAAGAGAACTCCACAGAATCTCTTCCAGAAGACACACAGTGTCCAAGACATTGGTCCCTGATTTTCATAGGAAGAAAATACAGTGAGTGTGTGTGTGTGTGTGTGTGTGTGTGTGTGTGTGTATGTGTGTGCGCGCGCACGCACAAGCGCGCGTGCCTGTGTGTGTAAGGGCAAGGTGGGGGACTCTAAGCTACTTAGCCCTAATTTAGAAACAGTTTTCACCTGTTTAAAAAAAATTACACACTCCTTATTCCCAGGCAAGCTATAGTCAGACAGATGATGAAAGTCACATGGCATCCGGTGACGGAGAGAGCTGCACTTGCAAAGAGGAGGAAGACAGCAGCGTGGCAGCAGCCTCACCCTCGCTCGCTCGGAGAGAGGAGCCTCCACCTCCAGCACCTCCAGCAACCCCCTCCCCTAAAGCTGTGTTCTGATGCCTGTAGTGCAGCTAGCTTTCTGTTCCAAGATTTGTAGTTCATAGGTGTGTGTTTTAGAGGGGGGGCGGGGGGCCAAGACTTCTGTTCCTAGACAATTTATCAGCTCCATCTCCTGTAACATGGCTCATCCCTGGTTCAGAGCAAACATCCAGCGGCTGAGAGCCTGCTGCTGTTACACTGGACAGTAGTATGTATGAGCGTTTTAAACCTTTGCACACAATATTGAACCCATTCAGTTTACAATGACAATATTAATACTGTTTGTAGCTAGAAGTTTCGTTTCTGGATTTTTTGAGATTTTAGCAAAGACCATCGTCTTATTATATACTACACACTCCCCCCCCACACACACACACACAGCAATTGAAGGGGAAGAAAACAACAACCCGCAATAGGATTTGGTTTCTGAGTGTCCAGACTCAGAACCCAGAAGCCAAGAAGGGTCCTTGGCCTGCCCAGGTCTCCAAGTCCCTCTGAAAAATGACTTAAACCTACCACCAGGAGTAATGGGTTCTTGAGGGCTTATCTCCAACTTCGGGTTGTTTTCCTTCAAGATACTCTAATGAGTCAGCCATAGAATTTAATGTAAATACTTTTCCAAATAGATATCATATTAAAGAGAAAGAGAGAGAAAAAACATTCAAATGATATAGAATCTAGTTTTTAAAATCAGCACAGATCTTCCTAAAAACTGTGAACTTGTTTTAAAATACTCGTTACTAAAGCTGTTTATAAACCACAGGTGCCATAAGACCCCCCACGGACTCCCGTTCTCTGCACACTCCTCCAGGTCTCGCTCCCCACAGTGTACCCTTAGGAAGCATGTCTTACCCAGCACTGCTCATTGACGAGTCCCCTCATCGGCTAGTTCCGAGGCCTTCAGCTTTAAATGTATGGGCTTCAAGTGCGCTTGCAGACCTTCACCCGCTTTTCTTTCTGAATGTCGATTGCCTTACCTGGCCGCCTGTCGTTCTGCATGCAGCGTCGTGTGGTCTTGTGAAAGGAGACAGGCCCCTTCCATGTGGGCTTGGGATGTCACACTCAGTGTGAAGCTGGTGTGCGAAAGAACGGTCAAAGACAAGAGGATAAGAGCCCGGGGATGGTCCTTCACGAGGCCCCTCAGTAGAGAGACCTCCAAAGGGCCTCTTTTAGTGATTCTGGGGGAAATGGAGAAGTCATTGGTTATTTCAAGATCTCCTGTGTAAGGAAAAGGAGAAGCCAGACACCTGCTGCCTTAAGCTAGCAGCCTCTCTGGAATGCCTGGGTTTTTCTTCTAAAAGAAAGAAGGGAACATCATCGCAGAGCAATGATTCTCTGAGTGTGTCCCTCAGACCAGCAATGTTCATGTCACCCAAAAGTCTTAGCAATGCAGTTTCCTAGACTCCAACCCAGACCCACTGAATCTGAAACTCTTGGGCCTGAGCCTAGTGATCCATGTGTTAATCAGTCCTCCTAACAATTCTGAAGTAGGTTATAAGATAGTAAGCATTGGTCTCGAATAGAGCTGCCCAGCAAAGGCTGAAAGAAGCCTTATCCAGGCTAGGTTGTAACTCAGTTGGCTGAGTGCTTGCCTAACACACACAAAGCCCTGGGTTCAAACTTCCAGAGCTGTATAAACCTGGCACGATGACACATGCCTATGACCCCAGCACTCAGGGGATGGAGGCAGGAAGATCAGGAGTTTCAGGTCATCCTCGGCTACACAGTGAGTTTAAGGCTAGCCTGGGATCCATGAGACCCTGCCTTGAAGGAGGGGGCGGAGTAGTCAGAATAGATAAGAAACGCTGTAAGTGGACCTCAGATTTAATTTTGCTCACTGGGCTGGCAAAAGCCTCCTCCCACCCCATACACCTAGTCTGTATTGAGTGGCTAATGACTCACTTTCTGGCCCGACTGTCTGTAGAGGGCTGTTGGATGCTCTTGCCTCTGCATTTGATCAGAAACCTTCTCCTTGGCTGCCCTTTTAAACAAAATCGTTTGCCTTGAGGATAGCTGAGAGATTGTTTGGCATCGGTAGATGACTCCGTGCTGTCCCTGGGTGTTATTTGTCTATTTCTCTTGAGAAAACCCGTCTCGCAAAATTCCCTGAGCACAGGCTAGCACCAAAGTTTCACAACTGCACAGTTCTCTGATGTCTTTGCACAGGTGGATTTTTTTTTTGCGGGTTTTGTTGGTGTGTCTTAACGTTCATCTCTTCCCCTGCCCATCCTCTGTGAAATCACACCTCTCTAGATGGTGCAGGTGGCCATTGGTGCCTCATACTCAGTACTGAAAACCACTACATCCCAGATACCTGCATTTCTGTCAGCTCGACATCAGATCTCACTAACTGGACTGAGCTGACCCTTGTCGTCTCTTTGGTTTTCTGTATCAAATGTGTGTCTAAGGTTGAAACCATTCTCCCGACAACCTTCCCTCTTGTCAGGGCTGCCATTGCTGAGCAGCTCCATCCCATGATCTAGACTCCATCGTACAAAGCCATTGCAGGAACTCTCTGGAACCACTACCAGTGAGCAATTTCTCACTAACCAGCCACCTTTTCTTTCTCTTAGCTCCACGTCAGCACTGAGACCAGATTCAAGCACCCCTATCCTGTAACCGAGACAAAATGGCGTGTGTTGTTTTGGGGTTTTGTCATTGTCGGTGGATTCCTTTCCTTGGCTCTCCAAATTTACTTTTGGGGCCTGTTCTAATTGCAAACCCAGCAGGTTTCGTCTACCCTGTCTGTTCTATTCAACTATATCTCACAGGGGTTGTTCTTTCTTATCCCACAATGAATTGCACATCCATGTCCATCAGAGCTGATGGCCTATGAACGAGCACTGATCTAGCACCGCCAAGCCTCCCCCACAGCACTGTGGTCAGGAGGTAGGTGAAATCTACTGTATAGGATTCAGGAATTGGTTGTGGTTTGTCGGGATGGAAGTTGGGGTAAGTTTGGCTGGTCAGAGGGAGACGTGTGGGAGATTACGAAGATGGATTATCATATGCTCTAGAATAAGGCAGGGAAGGTTCATTTGTAAGTAGTAAATGTGAACTGAGTTGCATTAAGATTGTGGCCTTTGTGTGATATATACTATGTATTTTCTTATATGCATGAGCCAAACTGTTGCGATCTAAGTTAGCACTGGTGTCTGCTCTTATTTTGACCATCTTTGCCCACCATTATTAGTTCTTGGTTGTTAAGTGTAGATAGATCTTGTAAATATGGCAGCCTTTGATTGCTGCGCTCACTTTGGTTCGATTCCACACAAGGAACCACAGGCAAAGAACTCCACTGTGTCCTTGGAAGACAGGGCATTTTTACTTTGAACCAAAAAAAGGAAAGAAAAATCAGAAGCATTCATTGCATCTCGAAGCTAATTAACATAAGACATTTTAAATTGTGACTACTGAATTTGACCCCATTTGAAATAACCAATTCAGAAACACTAAAAAGTACACAATATTCATTGGGATTGTAACAAAACTACTATAATATGTTGTTTTGTTGATATTGCTGTTGAGTATTGTTTTGTGTGTGTATGTGTGTGTGTGCGGGCGTATGTGTGTGTGTGTGTGTTGGAACCTCCTGGGGACATGTTATATTTTGAAGTGATTAAACTATTTAATTGTGTGTCTATATTTTGGAATGAAATTATTTCTTCATTAAAAATGTTTTTTAAAACACTATGATCTTGTGGGGTTTTCTTATCCTTCATTTTAGTGTATGTTTTTTACAATATGAAATCATCTCAAAGACGGGGAACAGGTGAGTTCCAAACATATGGAACATGAACCATGGTGGAATGTTGGACTGCTAAGGCAAAGAGTTTCCATATTTCCGTTAAGAAAAAAAATACCAAAAATATGCTAAAAAAATTGGAAGTCTAAACTGTGGAGTTATGGATGATATTCCTAAGTTATTCTTTAGGCTACTATCTTTTGCCCAGCCTCCCTGCCTTAGCTATTTGGGGTAGCTGGTCAGATGGATAAGGAGTCCTTGAGTGAGTTGGACAGGCTTTGATTTGTGCACAACCCTTCCTGCATCCACCTGCACCTCCAGAGAGCACGTCTGATATCAGAAATTATTTCAAGAGTGAGCAGTTGTCTTTCAACTGTATCGTTAGGCCACAGAGCACTAAAAAGTAAATGTGTGCTCACTTTATTTTCAAGAAAAGATTAAAAATATCAGATGCTTATGGGTCAAATTACTTAACAAAATGTTCCCTCTTTCCAGCGCTAACTGGTTTCGTCTTGGACACAGCGAAGCATGTGATGCAAGGCAGGTCACACATATTCTACATCTCTTGATCTTTGGAGCCCAAGTTGCCAAATAACGCCTGTGGTTGGCCCTTGTCCTTCCCAGTGCCTCGCTGTACCACCACTCCAGAGGGAATGCTGCAAGGGGTGGCTCTCTGGCACTAAGAAAATGGCTTCTTTGACATCTCATTTTCCTGGCCCTCTTGTGTAGCTGCTCTAGCTTAGAAGCAAGTACACCTTCAAAATATAAGAGTAAAGCCAGTTAGACCAGGTTTGTGGTCTAGAACCCCAGGGGAATCTGTGGCTGCTTTCCATGGAATTATTTCTAGGCAAACACATTTCCTTCCAGTGATTGGATGCCAAGAAGAAAGGTGTGCACACATGTATGCCAGCTATACACTCAAGTCTCCTCTGGTGTATGAAGCTAAACCTTTTAGTAATAGTGAGCTTTTATTTGTGGCAGACAGCATTTCATACACTATGTGCCAATTACTACATATTTATAAACAATGTTATACCTCTGTCTCTTAAGTAATACAAGAAATTAAAAATGGTGTTACGAAATGAAATACAGCATGTTCTATTTCTAGCACAGGTGTAACCAGCAATTGCCGTCTGGATCACCAAGTTCTTTTTTTAAGTGCGTTTTTGTTTTTAATTATGTGTATGCAGGTATGCCTGCATGTGGATTTGTGTGAGAGCACTTGGTGCCTGCAGAGGCCAGAAGGCAGTGCTGGATTGGAGTTACAGGTGGTGAGACCCTGGACTTGGGGGCTAGAAACCGAGCAGGTCCTCTGTAAGAAGAGCTGGTGCTCTTAACTGCTGAGCCACCTCTCCAGCTCTATTACCAGGTTCCTAACATCTTGTCCGAAGAACTGAAAAAGGCACACACAAGTAGCAAAGTAGCAAGGAATTTTATTATTTAAAAGCAAAAGTGCAGTGCAGATATTCTGCAAGGGAGCATGTGATGGCCCACAAGGAGCTATCTCACTAGCATAATGAAAACCTTCCTATGGCACAAGAAATTCCAAGAGTTTTTGAAGTCCCATGGCAGCAGCTCAGTGCAGGTATAGCATCCCTGTGCTTGGAAGGATGTGTTTGTCCATGCAGTTTCCTTTACTAAAGTCTTTGTTTCTTCATACACATCAAGTTACTGTTCAATATCCTTGCATTCCAAATTGATGCTCCCCTTTAGGACATATTGTAGAACAAGCAAACTCCCGGGCTTTTGTTCATCTGGGAATAGATTATAACACTCATTTCTGAAAGACAGTTTTGCCAGATAGAGAATTCTTGGTGGACAGGTATCTACTAGCTTTTGGCCTCTGTAGGTTTGGGTGCATAATCAACCATGAGCTTTATGGCTCTTCTGTTGTAATTAGCCCTCTTTTCTTTTGATACTTCCAAGAATCTCTCTTTATCTCTGTCTTCCCATGGTTTTGTTGTAGCAGGTCTTAATGCTGTTTTCATTGAGTTTATCCCGTATGGAATTCATAAGGCTTCTTTGGGGATATGCAAAGAAACTTTGCTTGCTGACTTGCTGTGTCCTTCATAAATTCTTTTATTGATAAGACCGAGAGCCTGGGCATAAAAGGTTTGGACTTCCTAAGTTAGCATTCCTACTTATAGCACCAAATACGTTGAGAACTTAAGCAACTGGGAGAAAGTTGCTCCATTTCTGAAGAAAAGAAAACTAGAAGAAATAACCTTTGGACCAGATCTTTGGTAGTTTGATTCTGGATGTTATATTTGAAATGCAGATTCAACATACAAGAGTCAGAGGTGTGGGATATTGACAAGCTAGACTCAGGATCCCAGAGTGAAGTGTGATGGAGCTTAGGAGGAGACCAAAAAAGAATGGTCAGAAAATCAGAGAGGAAGCCAGGAGCAGGAGCCTGGAGAGATGGTCAGTGGTTAGGAGTGCTTACTCTTCTTGCAGACCTACGCTGTGGCTGAAATCACCTGTAACTCCAGTTCCTGGGGGCCTGATGTCCTCTTCTGGCCTCCTCAAGCACCCACCCACCTTCATGGTTCACATAAACTCACTCAGGCACACACACATACACTTACATAAAATAAGTATTTTTTTAAAAAAAAAAACAGAAGCCAGATGATAAGTGTTTCAAAATAAGTGAAGCAAGTGCCTTGAATGCTCCAGATGGGTAAGGTGAGAGAACAAGGCCCTGCCCCTCACTCGAGGGTTCACGTGAACCAGCATGGTAATTTCCCAGAGCTTCTTCACTCTTACGGTACTTTCCGATCTCCACATGGCCAGTGAAACCTTGAACAACGTGACAATTTATACTGTTTTTTTTGTTGTTTTTTTTGTTTGTTTGTTTGTTTGTTTGTTTTTTGCTGAGGGCCTTAGAGAAAATGTGGTGCTATATAATAAATTCACAGGGTAGACTACGCCCCCCCCATCTCTACCCCCACCTCCACCACACCAGCTCCATGTTGCCTTCACATTTGGGGATATCAATCTAGAAAGACAACTCTGAGCATTTGCACAATGTGATCAGCTTTTAACAACCAAGTCATAGCAGAAAATGCTCCCTAACAGGTGCAGTGAGAAGATGCAGCAGTGTTAGCTCCCTCACAGATCCAGTGAAGGTGTTAGCTCCCCCACAGATGCAGTGAGGGGATGCAGAGGGGTGAGCTCCCCTACAGGTCCAGTGAGGGGGGTGTAGATTCAGTGAGGGGGTGTGGCAGTGTTAGCGCCCCCACAGGTGCAGGGAGGAAGTGGAAGTGTCAGCCCCCTCACAGGTGCAGGGAGGAAGTGGAGGTGTCAGCCCCCTCACAGGTGCAGGGAGGGGGTGGAGGTGTCAGCCCCCTCACAGGTGCAGGGAGGGGGTGGAGGTGTCCACTTTAGAACAGAAGTTCTTCTTTTCTTGCTTTCAGGGTCCCACTTACCTCCACTCTTCTCAGGGAGACCATGGATAAAGTTACAGAACTCTCTGCACACATATAAATAAAATTTTATATATGGTTTTGTCATTTATGGTAATATGTGTCTACTTGATGGTACCTATTGATTACTGTGAAGACCAATTAAAGAAACCAATACATGTAAAGCACACAGCAAATACAAGGAAGTGTTAATGTGTTAGAAGCTCAGTGCACACAATCAGTTCTTCCTCCATTTTTTTCTTTTTAATGTATTTTCCAATCCTCATCCACAAAATTGGAGCAAAGTTTTATTTACAGAAAATTCACACAAAGATAAATTGGCTTATGCGCAAATTTTTAAAAATATCTATTCGATCTTATTAAAAGATTAGGTACAGTACTGAATATCTGCTATCCAGGATCTCAAGTTGAGGCAGGAGGACCCCAAGTTCAAAGCCAGCCTAGTCAACTTAAGGAACCCCTACCTCCAAAAACAAGCAATCCAAATAAAAATGTAATGGCATGGCTAGAAGTTAAACATTGCTCTATTTAAAATATGCTAAACAAGTCGGGCAGTGGCGGTGCTTGCCTTTAATCCCAACACTTGGCAGGCAGATCTCTGTGAGTTTGAGGTCTACAGAGCAAGTTCCAGAACAGCCAAAGCTACACAAAGAAACCCCATCTCAAAAAAAAAGAAAGAAAGAAAGAAAGAAAGAAAGAAAGAAAGAAAGAAAGAAAGAAA